GCTACCGAAAGGGAATACTCCAAGACTATCCCAACCCGCAAGCTAGGGTAACCAGCTCGCTCCAACACTTAGGCAGAAAGACTGCCCGAAAGGCAATCCCGATGAGGGTCACCTCGAAGTACCCCTGGGAGCTCGCTACGAAGTAGCTCGTGACGAGATAGCTCGTTGCATGACAGGGTAGCTCGCGACTAAGCAACACGATGCTCTCAAGGAAGCTTCTATCTGACAAGATTGTACCCGTCAGACTGTGCCACGTCTCTTGACTGACGGCGCAGTCCCTGTCCATTCGACAGACTGTACCCACGTCTCTCGACAAATGGTGGCGTGCCTGTCGTCCCGGGATGTGTCACCCATCCAACTGGGTAGTACCCTGCAACAGTCACCTGCGCAACCCTGGCAGGTAACGGCTGCGACAGAAGCCCAGTGGCGGTTACGCCCGATTTGACAAGAACACCTATATAAGAGCTCCCTGGTTAAAGGGAAGCTCTCTCTCGAACACCTAAGATCCTATTTGAAACTTACTTGCTCTCGAGCTGATCTTGAGAACTTAGTGATCCAGCATGACTTACACTCTTAGCCTCTTGACACTCTTTGCTTTCTCCTCCAGCGTTCTAACTTAAGCTTCAGAGTATTCCCACCGGGCAAATCCCCCGGGAATCCTTCATCTTCTTCCTCTCAGGTGCCATCCGTTGCCAGGTAAGAGCCAGTCAGCAGCCAGTTAGGAGTGCCCGGATCGTGCTACATCACCTTCAAAGCTGGTTTGCGGTTTGCACCTGAGCTGAATCTAAACTATATTTGGCTTGAAGGAGATGCGTAGAAGGTTGTCTCTATCCTGTTGAATGTTCAATTTGACATTCCTTGGCGAATTCATACAATTATCGCTGATTGCAGAAGCCTTTTGTAGAATTTTCAAGTTACCAACATCTCCTATGTTCCATGTACAGGAAACAAAGTAGTTCACTGCTTAGCTAAGTTTGGTTGTATGGTTAAGAGGTCCACTACTCGGTCTTCTGTGCCTGATTTCTTACCATCTGTATTGGATGAAGTTTTAATGAATTAATATGCCCACGGGCTTTCTTCTCAAAAAAAATGTAAGGCAAAAGTTAACCGAGATTTGCACAGATAAAGAAAAACTAAGAAGACACAGTAGAGAGAATTCAAGATGAATGGGTAAACAGTTTGATGACGATTTGATCAAACCTTGAACTATTTATAAATGATCAGGAAAAGATTGAGTATAATACAACTGTTAGAGTTTTGAGTTTGTGTACAATACTCAAAGTTAACAGATTATTTTCAGTTACAATAAAAGTCCATCACGAGGAAACAATTAGACCTTAAGGTTGTATTTGGTTTGAAGGAAATAGTAAAGAAAGGAAGGAAAAAAAAGTAAGGAAAGGTAGGAAAACCTTTATAAATCTTATATAGGTTTCCCTACCTTTTCCTATTTTTTCCTTCAAATCAAACATAGTCTAAGTAAAAAGTTCATCGCATGTAAAGATCATGGGATGAACTTTATCACGACCGTCGCAAGTCTCTAATATGCACTCACTCCATTGACACTCCTATGCATTTACACGGAGATAAATAAGATTCGCACCACAACCAAACGGAGCCTAAGAGTCCAAACTTTTGACATAACCGAAGTTAAGATGACCGTGAACGTGAAGCAACTCTTAGCCGCAGCTGGAGGTTCTGGGCTCATAAGCCCGGATCCACAACCTTGTACGGTGAGGATGGAGTGAGCCATCGCATCGACCTCATAACTCACATTTGCAAGAAAAGAATATGCTTGTAATACTGTTAACGTGTGTCATACATGTAACTTATTGTCATCATCCATGCAGGGCCCACCCATTAGTTAACGATAAATCTGACGAACAAAATTATCGCGCATTAATCAGATGCCGTGACCCTTCACAAATGCAGCATTCCTAATAAAGGTGACAAACACCCACATGAAATACGATGAATAACTCAATGAAAATATAATAACAAGAAGTAACTCGTAACTAATAAGAGAGGAAGAAGAGAGAGAGAGGCCTAAAATTCTAATATGGAGAAGGAGGGAGAGAACAAACAGTTGGTGCAAACGTTTATTGAGATCACATCGGGTTCGAGGGACGAGGCTCTCTTCTTCCTGGAGAGCCACAATTGGGATCTCGACTCTGCAGTCTCTACTTACTTAGAGACCACCGGCAACAACAGCAGCTTCGATAACATCAACTATCCCACCACCAACCAATCTCCTTCTCCATCTCCTTCCCCCTCTCTCTCTCCGGTTCCATCTCCCTCTCCCTCGCCGTTGGTTCCCACCGATTTTCAATCAAGGGTACCCATGTCTTCCCGGGACAAGAAACCCTCGAAGCCCTCCAGTAGCCGCGCCGGCGGCATCCGTACACTCTCAGATCTGAATCGTTCTTCTAGTCCCGGCTCTGACGATGATTCAGATGCCCCCCAGGAGTACTACACCGGCGGCGAGAAAAGGTACCAATGTGATTTACTGCCCTGTTTCTGTCCAATTTTTGGTTGAAGTTAATTTGGAATTCTTGTTGATTTCTAGAAACCCTAGCCGTGTTTCGGATTGCTTTCATTTTCTTTAGTCAATTAATTGGTAGTATTCATGGTTGTCTGGTTCCTTATTGTTTATGGGAATTGGAATGTTGAGGTTAAAGCGCGAAACGACCCTCATGGAATTGAGGTAATTTGATGAGCTGTTTTGTCAACAGAGAGATATCTATGAACCTTGGATACTTAAATTTGATCATACTTCGTAAGTTTCTATCGTATTGCTTAGAACAAAGCGGGATATTTTCTCCTGTCCTTGGTCCATTCTTACAGGCTCAGGTTGATGGTAAGAATAGCATATGGGACTTCATTTTTAGGCTTTCTCCTATCCAGTGCACCATTCTGTTTAATTTTCGTGATACCAAGACATTGGCTTGTTTCCTATTTTACTCAAAACTGATCTCCCCAAAGATTTTGGTCTATAAATATGGGTATATTGCCTATGGGCCTATCGTAATCAAATGTAAGTTTTTATTATATATATAAATCCATGCTTTGGTGCTTAAATTTGACCCAGAGCATGGTAACTCTGGGTGGTATAATTCTATCTAGGCTTTCTTGAGATACGCGTGATAGTTAGATTCTTGTTCAATGTCTAGTATCCCAATTCACTTTTCTTGAATATGATCTCCAAGTTTATGAACCTGAGACCCTGCTTTTACTTGGGGTTTCTTTGCTCAAATTCTGAATTTTTGACCTATTGGTTTTCTATTAAGAGTGGTCCATATCCAAACCTTGGTTGTCATCAAGTGTCAAAACTCCTAGTTTTAGCAAATATTTCTGATTTTGCCCATTGAATCCTTAGTTGATTACTCTGTAGTCATTAAGGTGGCGTTCGATAGTGTGTTCATCTTGTGGATGGACCATTTCGGTCCATGCCATGGGATGAACATACAGTTCGGTTGGGCGTGGACGGGACCAGTCCACACTATATCGTAGACCGGCCCTATCCACACCCCAAAATATCAGCAACGGGTATTTTTCGTGGAAGGGCTTTGTCCATAGTTTATTTTTGATATTGTGTTTCACATTCACAATCGAAACCCTGCATTTTACCGTTAACCTCTCCACCACTGAAGTGCTCTGCCACTATGCTCTGCTGCAAAGGGAGGTCTCCTCCAGGTTTTCTCTGTTGTTTCTGTTGTTGATATTGATTTCGGTGGTGTTACACCCTCTTTTTCTACCGTTGTTTCTTTTTCTTTCCAATTCTTCATCTTCTCTTGCGGTTCTTCTCCCGAACACCCCCACCAAAATACAACTTTGAGTCTCCAAATTCTGAAACCTTTTTGTCCAAAGGCACAATCAATAACGCCTTTCCAATTCCAGAAGTCAGAATTGAATCCTTTGAAGAGAACTCTTATTCGAAGGACCCTCTACGAATCACCGGTTCTAGACCCTCCTCCAGCGGAACTACAATATAAAGATTTGTGAAAGCTTCATGTTATGAAAGAATAATCAAAGAACAGTTGCAATCTTCATTTTGTCCACACGGTCTATGGATATATGTTGTTTTTCCTTTTTTTTGTTGAATAATAGTAAATTTCATTAATTCAAAAGCTGATTTAGAGTTGTGAATTCATACAACATCCTAGGGAGAGGTGCGAGCTGCAGCCCCTCCTTGAATCTTACAAGTAAACTAGGAAAGAAATACATGAATCAGAGCTGAGCCCAAAACAATTCTTCCCTATTTACCCCTTGCTTGACTAACACATCAGACAAAGTATTTGCTGATCTCCCCACCCACTGTAAAGAGACCAACATATTCCTTGTCTACCAACTGAATTTCTTCATTTCATTCTTGTAGCGCCATATAGCATCTTCAGGACTTTTCAACCAACGCACCACCACTTTGGATCCCCTTCAATTATTAGATGTTGTACCCCCAACTGGTTTGTAAATTGCATCCCTGGATTACCCATGCTACTTCCATCAAAGTCCAGCTTTAGTGAGCCTTCAAATGGAGGAGACCAGCTTGTAATTGACTTGTCCTTTAAGGGTGAACACTTCGCTACTGCTGACTAGTTTCTCCAAAGATCATTAAAAGAGAATTGATGAAAGATTTCCAAAGTCTTCAGCCAAACTATTACCCTATGCTATTGATCGAAAAAAAAGTATTACCCTATGCAACACACAGTCTTTCAATTCCTGAATGCTCCTTTCCTTTTCTTGAAAGATTCTAGCATTCCTTTCTTCCCAAAGAGTCAAAATCAGGGCAATGCGAGCACATCTCCACATAAGTCTCCCTTTTTTTGTAGGCCAAGAGAAAGTAGAATGGTTAAACTTGGATAAAAATAAATCAGAAGCTGATTGTTTTCTGATACAAATTCAGTAGAAAAAGAAGAGAAAGCAAGGTCACGAATAGAAGAAAAGGGAGAAGAGAAGAAGAGAAGAAGGAGAGAAAGAAAGGGTGCAGTTCAATCATACTAGCCGCCCCACTTAATCTTATTTATAATTATAACTTTACAAGGAGAAGAGTTACTCTAATACCCTTACTTAAAATAAAAAGAAAACAAACATGACCCAAACGACCCAACTACCATAACTGAAATATAAAGAAGTAAACAGTAAAAATAAAGTGTGGGGCTGGGACCACACACACACTAGTCAGCTATCTCTACACTCCCCCTCAAGTTGGGAGTAGATATTTGTCATTCCCAACTTTCATAAATCTATCTCCAACTTGATTTTTGTGACTACTTTAGTAAATAGATCAGCTAGCTACATGTCTAAGGCAATATAGGGAAGACACACTTCTTGAGATGTAACTCGCTCTCGAATAAAATGTCTGTCCACCTTTGTGTTTAGTCCTATCATGCTGTATTGGGTTGTGGGCAATGTTAATTGCTACTTGATTATCACAGTACAACATCAGTGGTTTCTCATAGTCGATTCCTAGTTCATCAAACAAAGATTTCAGCCATAATACTTCTGCAACACCATTGGCCATGGACCTATATTCCGCTTCACCACTGAAGTGAGCAACAACATTTTGTTTCTTGCTTCTCCATAAAACAAGGTTTCCCCTTACAAATGCACAATACCCAGAGGTAGATTTTCTGTCATCAATGCATCCAACCCAATTAGCATCTGTATATACCTCTATCTTCATGTGACTGCTATTCTTGAAGAGTATGCCTCTCCTTGGGCATCTCTTCAAGTAAGCAAGTATCCTTTCCATCGCAAGAAGGTGAGTGGTCCTAGGAGAATGCATGTACTGACTAACCGCACTAACAACATATGAAATATCTGGTCATGTTAGGCAAAGATAAAGAATTTTCCCAACCAACCTTTGATACATAGCCTTGTCCTCAAGAAGTTCTCCACCTTCTGCACTTATTTTATGGTTCAATTCAATGGGTGTGTCAGCAGGCTTTACTCCTAACTTTCCAGTTTCTTTCAATAAGTGAAGGACATACTTTATTTAAGAGATAAAAATGCCATGCTTAGATCGAACTACCTTAATTCCTAGGAAATAGCGCAATTCCCCCAAGTCCTTCACTTCAAATTCTTTGTGAAGATGCTACTTAAGGGAGTCACCACAATGTCATCCACATAGATAGCAAGTAAGGTCAAGGAGGAGTCTGTCTTCTTAAAGAAGAGAGTGTGATCTGAATGACTGCATGTAACCAAACTTTTCCAAGACTAGTCTAAACCTATCAAACCAAGCTCTTGGAGATTGTTCCAGCCCATATAAAGCCTTCTTCAGCTGACAAACTTTCTTTCTTGCTTCTATACTCTTAAAACCTGGGGGTCACTCCATGTACACTTCCTCTTGCAAGTTTTCATTGAAAAATGCATTCTTGATGTCCATTTGAAACAGTGGCCATGAGAAGTTTGCAGCAATAGATAGTAGGACTCTGATAGTGTTCAACTTGGCAACTAGTGCAAAGATTTCCATTATAGTCTATGCCACAAGTTTGTGTGAATCCCTTTGCAACCAATTTGGCCTTATATCTCTCTACAAAACCATCAACATTATATTTCACTGTAAACACCCATCTGCATCCAATAGGTTTCTTCCTCTCAAGCTAGTCAACTAGTTCCCATGTATTGTTCTTAACAAGAGCATCCATCTCTATTTTCATCGCTTCCTTCCACTCAGGTATCAAAAGAGATTTTTGCACTGTTTTGGGTATAGGAATAGTAGCAATAGATGCTAGGAAGGATCTATAGGATTTTGAGAGACAATCATAAGAAAGAAACTGCGGGATACAGTGATCAGTAGATGAAGTACAACATCGCTTCCCTTTACAAATTGCAACTGGGAGATCAAGGCCATTTGAAGGAGGAGGCTGAGGCTCAACAGTAGTAGGCAAAGTGTCTGCAACAGTGGGAGTAGTGCTTGGATCTAAAGTTGTAGAAGGTGTTGGGATCGGCCTGGACTATTGAGGATGGAAATCAACTTGCCTCCACCACTATCTGTGATACATTCTCAACTCCTTGCACTTCTGACAACCCTCTTCATGACATTCCCCCTCAATAACTGGGATAGGTAATGGAACTTCTCGAGCTGAAATCCCTTCATCACGACTCTCCCCCCGAGGAGAAGCCCTATGATAGTAGGGCATATCCTCAAAAAAGGTGACATCTATGGACACAAAACGCCTCCCCGGAATAGGCTCATAACAACAATACCCTTTTGATTTTGTGCATACCCAAGGAAAATACATTTAGCAGCTTTGGGATCAAATTTTGAGCGATGAGGTCCAAGGATTTGAACAAAACAAGTACACCCAAAAGTTTTAAGGGGAATAGTGAACAAGTCCTTATCTGGATACATAAGGTTGAATGGTGTTTTCATGTCTAGAACTCGTGAAGGAATTTGGTTAATAAGGTAAACAACAGTACGGATTGCATCCCCTAGAAGGGTATTGGAACATTAGAGTTGAGCATGATGTTGCTGGCTACCTCCAAGTTAT